CTAGCCCCAGTAGCCCCAGACCCCCTTTACTAGCCCCAAACCCCCTTTAGTAGCCCCAAATCTCCATCAGTAGCCCCAAACCCCCCTTACTAGCCCAAATCCCCCCAACCCCTGTTACTAGCCCCACTAGCCCCCACTCCCCTTTACTAGCCCCCACCCCCCTTTACTAGCCCACTCGCCCCCGCAGGCACTCGAGGTGGCCCGTGGGCCGCTTGGATGCCCCCGGAAGTCGCCGGCCTCTCGGGGACGTGCGTGGCCATCACTTGCCGCTTTGGCTACCCGGAGGAACTTCGCCCGGCCACCGTCCACGGGTTGTGGTATTTCGGGAGCCCTTATCCCAAAAATTACCCCCCCGTGGTAGCCCGTTCGCGGGGGGGGGTAGTCCACGAAAGTTTTACCGGCCGGGCTAGTTTAACGGGAGATCCGTTTGCCCGCGACTGTTCCCTCCTTTTGGGCAACCTCAGCCCGGAATTGGCCGGCAAATATTATTTTCGGGGCGATTTAGGGGGTTACAACCAGTACAGCTTCTCCGAGCACGCCGTCCTCAGGGTGCTGGGTGAGTTTTTTGGGGGGGAATTTGGTAGCCACCAACCCAAATTTGGTAGCCCTAAAGGGTTGGGTGGCCATTTTAGGGGTCCTGGAGGTCTGGATCCCCCAATTTAGGGGTCCCAGGGTCCCTTTTGGGGAGGGGGTTCCGATTTGGGGGTCCTGGGTGGTTTCGGGGAGGGGGGTTTGGGTGGCCCAGACCCAAATTTGGTAGCCACCACCCCCAATTTGGTAGCCCTAAAGGGTTGGGTAGCCATTTTAGGGGTCCTGGAGGTCTGGGTCCCCCAATTTAGGGGTCCCAGGGTCCCTTTGGGGAGGGGGTTCCAATTTGGGGGTCCTGGGTGGCTTTGGAGGAGGGGATTTTGGTGGCCACCACCCCAAATTTGGTAGCCCGGGGGGCTAGGTGGCCATTTTAGGGGTCCTGGGTGCTGGGGTTCGCCCATTTTAGGGGTCTCAGGGTCGCCGTGGGGAGGGGGTTCCAATTTGGGGGTCCTGGGTGGTTTCGGGGAGGGGGATTTGGGTGGCCCAGACCCAAATTTGGTAGCCACCACCCCCAATTTGGTAGCCCTAAAGGGTTGGATTGCCATTTTAGGGGTCCTGGAGGTCTGGATCCCCCCATTTAGGGGTCCCAGGGTCCCTTTTGGGGAGGGGGTCTCCAATTTGGGGGTCCTGGGTGCCTTTGGGGGAGAGTGATTTGGGTAGCCACCACCCCCAATTTGGTAGCCCTGGGGGGCTGGGTTGCCATTTTAGGGGTCCCAGGGTGCCCTTTGGGGAGGGGGGTCCCCAATTTGGGGGTCCCAGAAGCCTGGGGTCCCCTTTTTGGGGCTCCCAGAGGCCTGAATCCTTTCGGGTAGGGTCCCCCCTTTGGGTGGAGGATCCTCTTGGGGAGAGAATCCCCTTTTTTGGGGGTTCCCCAAACCCTTTTCTCTTCTTCTTCCTTCTTCCCTCACCCGCCATTTTCTCTCTCCTTCCCCTTCCACCTCAGAGGAACCGGAGTTGGAAATTCCCCCCGAAATGGTGGCGGGGACGGAGGTGGAACTTCGGTGCCGGGTCCCCGATAATTGTCCCCACCTGCGCCCCCAAATCGAGTGGGAAGGGACGGAAGAACTCCCCGAAATTTCCCAAAAAGAAACCCGCCAAGACCAGGCCGGAGACGCCTCCATCTTGGCCTCCCTCAAGTTTAGGCCTCGGCGGGAAGATGGAGGCCGCCGCTTGGCCTGCAAAGTGGCCTTCGCCAACACCAGCCTGGCCTTCCAGGCCTCCTTGGCCCTCGACGTCCAGTGTGAGCCCTTAAATTGGGGGAAAAAACCCCCAAAAAAGGGCCCTTAAAAATTTTTTGGGGGCGGGGGGGGCCCTCCCAAGTTGGGCCGCTCGACCCCAAAAATCTGGGGGGACGCCATTTTGTTGCCCTCCCACCCTCAACCCTTCGTCTCCGTCAAGGCCTGAGGGCTCTTGTTTGGGTGCCCCCCCAAAAGCCTGGGTGCCCTCCAAAATCCTGGGTGCCCTCCAAAATCCTGGGTGCCCCCCAAACTCTGCCTGGGTGCCCCCCAAAAGCCTGGGTGCCCCCCAAACTCTTGGATCCCTCCATTTTGGGTCCCCCCAAACTCCTGGGTGCCCCCCCAAAAGCCTGGGTGCCCCCCCAAAAGCCTGGGTGCCCCCCAAAATGCCTGGGTCCCTTTCAGGGGGGGGTTGAGGGGGTGGAAAAAGGGGGTGCCCAGACCCTTGGGTCCCCCCAAAACGCCTGGGTCCCTTTTGGGGGGGGTCGAGGGCGTGGAAAAAGGGGGTGCCCGGACTCCTGGACCCCCCCCC